CAGAAAAGGAAACCAAAGGAAAAATGAGTTCAGGAAGGCAAGTGGCCCCTGGGACATTCGCAGTCATCGGCATCTGAGGCTGTGGTGGCCTGGACTTTCTTAAACTTGTGACCCAGTGCTGAGCAGGGTCTATAGGGTATGAAGCCCTCTCAGTGGGGGAAGCTGGTATTCTTGGTCTCAATTTGGTCTCACAGGACAGGTCCTGCTCTGAGGCTCAGCCACAAATTACCTGTAGATCTGCAATGTTCTTTATCAGGTGAACGTAGAACAGAAATCAAGCCATCTCTCCTCCTCGCTGGGGCCAGCCGCCCCAACTCACCCCCACAGCAGCCAGCCTTGGATGCAGGTCCTCAGTGCCATGGGGGCTCTATGGATGGACTGTAATGCATGGCTAATGAGGGACTGGTCAGCTGTTCCCATGTCAAACGTCCCACCACTTCCAAGTCATTATATCTGCTTTTGCTACGAGAGAGGACTTGAGACAGGGCCTTGCTGTGTATCTCAGGCTAGCCTACAGCTTCCTTTGTAGCCCAGGCTATCCTCAAACTTGCTATCCCCCTCCCTCCACCTCCCAAACACAGGATTACAGGTGTGTGCCACCATGCCCAGTCTATTATATCTGTTTTCTATAATTTTTCTGTCTCCATTGCTACCAGGTGAGACTGTCTCTAGCAGCTCAGGTCCACCCATGTTTATCTATCACCAGCTATGAATCAGGCCCCAGACAGACCTCTACTAATGACTGTATCTACAAGCCCCCATGGGACACACTTATTAAAATTCCTTCCCTAGATGGAGGCATAAACAACGTCTACCCTCTCCTCCCATGGTCCCAATGACAAATTGCTATGGGACTCTACTGAGTTTCACAGAAGAGAACCAATGAGCTTACTTACTGAGCAATGGATGAGAGGTCATGGGCAGGAGCGTGGACGATCTTAAGGCAGCCCACAGAAGAGGTGCACCCAGCAGGGATGACAGCTTCACCCATGGCCTCACAGACGGAACCTCTCCCCTAGTCCTTCCCTGTGTATACGCTCTGGCCCTTTCCCCCAGAACCCGAGGCGAGGCCATGTGTAATTAGGGCAAAATTGCAGACAACTGGGAGCGAGGGAGCCGGCTACACAGGTGAGGGTGTCATGGCTCTCCAGGCCCTTCCTTTCAAGAGAACCAATAGCAACAAGCCAGCAGAGACGATCTTCGGCCAACAGCGCCAGCTGAACTCATAAAGATTGTGGCGGTTTGGCTGGGAGGATAGTCCTCATCACTACTGTTCAAATTGTGGGTAAATAAACTTTGTGGGGCCTGTTAAAATCTTCAGGGTGGGGCGGGGGAGATAGCAAGTGCATAAGTATAAAGGCTGGAGTTGGAATCCCGAAACTCACATAAAATCCGGAGTAGCTCATGTCTATAATCCCAGAGTGCCTAAGGCAAGATTAGAAAGAGAGACAGAGTTCCTGGAAGCCCAAGCGCCGGATGGATGCCAGGTGCTCACAGCAGCAAACAAGGAGCCCCTGTCTCCACAGGTGAAAGGGAGGACTAACACCAGAGACTATCGTCTGATCCACACACACCATGGCACACGTGCATCCATTCTTACACACACACACACACACACACACACACACACACACACACACACACAACTTTGGGGCATCTCCTATAAGTAAAGTCTATGAGTTCTGATGATAGCTCTTAATAACGACATCTTTAATTCCTAGGAAACCTTTGCTTCCCTCCTTATTATGAACTGATGTCAAAAATACTGCTGGTCGATACTGCCTCCCTCATCTGCAGTGTGGTGGTGGGGATGAGGGAAAGATGCCCTTCACTCTTGCCCCCACGGCCTCCAGCTGGCAAAAGAACTGACCCCTTTACAGCTGCAACACTCGGGAAAGTGGGCCCTGCCCCTTGTCTGGGCAGCACAGCGGAGCTGATCGTGTTGACAGATGAGCCAACTCCGGGAACATGAGCGTGGGAGACCTAACCCCACCCCTCATCTTCCATCTGGGGGCATGGGTCGGGGAGAGATGCCCTCTCATCGATGCCTGAGGCAGGTGGGAGAGCTGGCCCTGGCCCTCATCAGCTTCAGCATTTGGGAGAAGCGGCCCCTACACCTTGCCTGGCCAGCACAGTAGAGCTGGCCTTGAAGGTGTAGGTGTGGGAGAACCGACCTGAGGATGTGAAAGTGGGAGAACTGGCCCCAATCCTTGCTCATTGTTGCCAGGGGTGAACTAGCCAGGGCAATGCTGGAGAGCTCACCCTGGTGGTGAAGAGGCCGGAGAGCTGGCGGGCTGACCAACCCTGCAGCTACCCAGGTCCAGAACCAGGGTTATGTGTTGGCCCACCCCAACATCCACCCCATCTGTTATTTCCTGGAGCATGGGGGGAGGGTGGGAGGGTCAGTCCTTCAGACTCAGGGCTGCAAAATCTCCACGACACAGGACAGCAACTAGATGTCCAGGGAGAGTCCCAGCGAGGGTCCTGCGGCAATGGTGTAGCAGACTAGGGGCCAAGAACCAGACCAATGATTCTTTGGGATGAACTCCTGCATGTAAAAATCGATGGATAAAGGGGTTTACTGCCTGACTCACTGTGCCACACGGCAGCTTCCATGAGGAGATGCTCCCTCTCTTCCTCCCCCACTTTCTTTTCTTAAATTTTATTTTCTTTCATGGGGGTGGGGCGGCGAGGGAGATGAGTAAAATCGGGAGACATGATGTGGAGACATGATATGAAAGATACAAAGAATAAATGAAAAGAAAGCTAAAAAATATGGCTGGTTCCCATTTGCGGTCAGGATGGACAAAGTTGCTAAATCAATGATGTGTTCTGATATTACATACTTTCCATCCAGCTCAGAGGTTTCCTTCCACTACTTAAAAACTAGATGTTGGGGCTGGAGAGACGGCTCAACAGCTAAGAGCCTCAGCTGCTCCTCCAGAGGACCTGGGTTTAATGCCTGCTCCCATAACCATCTTTAACTACAGTTCCGGAGGATCTGCCGCCCTCTTCTGGCCTCCACAAGCATTGCATGCACACGGTGCACAGACACACACTCAGGCAAAATACCCATACACATAAAATAAAAATAAAATTTCAGTTTTTTTTTAAAAAAGGCTAGATGTCCTTTTCTCTCTTTCTCCCTCACCACACTCACTGCCTTGGTCCCCCCCCCACCGCCCCTCTTATTGGAGACATACTTTTACTATGCAGACCAGGCTGGCTTTGAACTTACTTTGACCTGAGCTGAAAGTACAGGCATATGCCACGGCTCCAGGCCTAAGACTATTTTCAAAGAGTGTGCTGCCGGGTTGCAGGATCCCAGGGCAGTGTGACAGGTCCCCACTGTCCACTTTCCTCCTTGTCTCTGCTCTGCCTTCCCAGGGATGCTTCTCCTAACCCAGGCCCAGGAAGCCAGCCATGGAGATGAGAAGGTGCCTGAAGCCCTTGAGGCTTGCAGCAGCCCAGAGGTGTGGCAAGCACAGGGTGTGGGTGTGACACCACCCAGGAAGCAGCCCTGGGGTGCTGCTGCTGCCACTGAGCCACACCCTGATGCCCTATAGACTGTCCTTCTGCCTGGGTCCTGCCCCTGGGGCTACTGTTCCCCTCAGCTTTGATCTGGGGAAGGTGAGTCCAGGAGTGTGGGGTTGGGATAGAGATAGTAGGGGCAAAATGGTTAGGGTCCGTGGCCTTCCCTGGCTGCAGAGCTCCAAATCAGAGCAGGAATTGGATTCTGGCTGTCGGCTTGAGCAAATGAAGACCCTGGTGAATGAGATGGGCAAGCCAGTTGTCTCCATCCTTAGCTGTGGACTGGTCCTACACTCTCTTGGTAAAGATAGGGAAACTGAGGCCCAGGCAGGCACAAGGTGCCCTCTCCAGGCAAGGTCCTGTGTCTTCTGTACAGTCAGTTTCAAGGGAGGAAGGTCACTCACACTCTAGCGTGGGCCTCAAGTAAAGCTGGCCGGAAAGGAAGGAAGGATGGCTTTTTTAGCTTTCATCCTCCTGGCTGCGGCCCGGGAAAGGACCCAGGCTGAGGCTTGGAATCCCATGAGTGAGAAATTTGCGTGAGTGAGAAATCTAGAGAGTCCCCTGTGGGCTTGGCGGTGCCACCCTCAGAAGAAACCCTTCCCCAGCTTTAACCAAAAGGTCTCAACTTGTCTCCAAGCACCAGAGAGGACAGTTGGGGTGGGGTGGGGTGGGGGAGTTGTAGGGGGAGAGGAAAAGCTGAAGCTGAAAAAACAGGAGCGGTGAGGTAGCTCTGCGGCCCGGGCCAGGCCCCTTACCGCCCTCACTAGCCAGGTTTCCTTCTTTCATGGGTGAAAAGATTTGATTTACACCTGTGGGGGATTTGAAAAGGCAAGCAGGGAGCTGCCTAGCCCGGCAGCCTTCTTTAGGACCTGAGGTGTGCAGGGTGTCGGAGGTGAGATAAAGAGAAATGACATCAGCAATGGGCCAGGGCTTGACCACGGCAGATCACCTTCAGTTGTCCAATGTTTATTTGTATTTACCGGCATCATATAGATGTAGGAACTGAGGCCCAGAGAGAGAAAAAAAAAATGACCTACGCAGCCCATTTAAAGCCGGGAACCAAACTGAACAAAAGGTGGCCTGGTGCCGGCCAGGGCTGCTGACGTGTCCCTTGTGGTCCCCCTCCCCTCCCCTCGTGTCCTCTTCAAGTCCTCCATTAGACTGTCCTGGTAAGCTCTGCTGTTGGGGCTGCATGTCCCAGAGGAGAATGGGCCTGTGAGCACAGAGGCCATCCCTCTGCCTCCTCTGGGCATGATGTCTGTAGAGAAATCATTATCTCAGCCAGGGTCCCAAGTCAGTAGAGGCTGTGCCTCAGGCCACCGCTATGATAATTAAGACCAAAGTCAAGGCACAACTTTTATGAGAAAACTCCCTTCACAGGGCTGCCACCTCTATGCCACCGTCCCAGGTCACTTCTGCCCAACTGGACCTGTTCCGCAAGCTCACCGCCCCCAGCCGACTCCACTCACCCAGAAGGCATCTCGGAACTGCAGCTGGGCCATCATCCTCAGGCGTCTCTTGTGTCAAATGCTAGTAGGCACTCCTGCCTCAAGCAGGGCTGAACATGGGCCAGGAGCCAGGAGCCCGGCACAGTCCCAGCGCGGCTGGCCCAGGCCCTCCCTCCTGCTTCCAGCCGGCGCCGTCAGCAAGCTCAGAAGGCAGCCACAAGCCAGAGACAACTGCCGGAGGGAGGGAAAAAGGCTCAACCTGTTTCGTTTGGGACTAGAATCAGCAGCGGAATGAGGAAGGAGCCCTGCCCAGCGTTGGGAGGGTGGACCACGGATCAGCCCAGGCCCTTGCCAGCCCCGGTGATGGAGGACACAGGCTGAGGCCCAGGGCAGGCAGCCCAGGTGGCAGGCAGAGAGTGGGAGAGAGGCAGGATGTGCACAGGCCAGGAAGGCAGGCAGGCAGCCTGAGGCCTGCACAGGAAGGTTTGTGCAACCTCCCCCAGGGCAGGCGCAGGGCTCCAACCCACAGGAAGTGGAGCTGCAGCCCGTTCGTTCTCCTGCGCAGCCCCGCCTGCCACCTGCCACCCTGATGCCTGCTCAGGTCCTGGCCCAGTTTAGCCTTAGAACTATCAACTTAGGAATCCTGGGGCTATCGCCTGTCTGCCCAAGCCACAAGAGGATAGGTTCTTGGGGTCTCACCCAGGTCTAGGACACGCCCAATTCATTCCAACCTTAGCAGTTGATGCCTCAGACCAGGTCCCACCTTTAAGTTGCTCACAGTGTGGAGCAGACTCAGCTGTGGTCCAGCGGCTGTGAGAGCACAGAGGTGGAGTGAGCAGGTAACCAGCTAACGGGGCTCAGCCTGGTGTGGCATGGGTCCTGGTACCTGTGCACATCTTCACCCATTCCAGCTTCAGTCCATGATTGTGAGAGACAGAGAGACAGGAGTCTGGAGCCCCGGCTCTGGCTCAGCTTTTCTTTAATTTGGGTCCTTCTCTTTAGAAGCTGAAGGACCTTGACTGACCTTCAGACTCAGAGCCTCAGCCTCCCCTACCTGCCACCTCCGGTCTGTGGAAGAGTATCTTGTATCAAGAATACCTCTGGAATTTCTCTTTGTAGAGCAAATCCCAGGGAACACAATCCTAAGACAGGGTTTGCCCACTCAGCAGAAGAGGCTTCTGGGAGTCCTGAGCCCAGGGTGGGTTGGTGAAAAGGATGAGTCAGGGATTGTCCACAAATCACCACCCTCACTGAGGCTTACCTTAGGACCGCCTGGGTTGATCAGGCACCTACACTCCCAAGTGGGTGTTACATATACCAGGGCTTAGAGAGAGGTACACCCAGGCTTCCTTAAACAGCCCCCCAAGAAGAAACACAGTGAGCCTGGTGCTGGAAGCATCGAGTACTAGACTCCTGGGACTTGAGGTAATAAGCATCTTTTTAAAAGGATTTATTTTTTATTTCTGTTTGTATGTATATGTGTGTGTGTCCTATATGTGCACAGATACCTGTAGAGGCTAGAAGGGGGTGTCCGATCCTCTGGAGCGGGGGTTACAGGCAGTTGTGAGATTCCTAATCCAGGTGCTGGGAATTGAACTCTGATCCTTCAGAAGAACAGATAGATAGCCAGGTGCACACAGAAGCAAACAAGGAGACCCTGAGTCCTGGGATGGCAGATGGTGTGTGCCAGCATGGTCTGGAATCCCAGCCCTCTTTCTGGACTGCCTCCCCTGGTCTTCATTCCTGAGGCAAATCCTCCCATCCTTCAAACCTTCTAAATACAAGACCTGCCTTCACCCTCTCCCTTTTTCAGCCGCAGAACAGAACGGCCAGGGCGGCCAGTTTGGCTCTGGGGCACTTACTAAGTGCCAGGTGCTCCATCAAGTCTCTCAGTCCCTATTCGTTCCACACTCATCCTTAAGATGAGAAATTCAATGATTACCTTAACTCCCTCAAGTTCTAAGGGCCAAGAAGCAGAGGGCTGGTGTGGTCCCAGGCCTATATGACACCAGCACAAACGTCCTCAGCCTCTTCAGTTCTTCCCACCAACACGCCAGTTCTGCCCCGACCCTCTCTCCCCAGCAGATAGGTGGAGAACCTGAATCGAAAGAGGCCGTTGGGCTTGGCACGTGGTTTTGCGTTCACAGTGTTGTATGTGTCAGCTGGGAAGGCTTTGCACCGTACAAAAGATGAGTAAGAGTGCATGGGGAGGCATTATTGTCAGCCTACAGGGGTGTGGAAGCAGGCCTTCTCAAGCTGTTGTGCATCGAGGCTCCAGCTCTGCCCCTCTGAATTCCTCTTCTACTGATGGTCTTCTTCCCTGTGAGCAGCAGCACCTCTGGCCTACCCTCCAGATGCAGCCACATCAAATAAGAAAAGGGAAGCCTACGCCGTCTTCTCCAAAGCCCTGCTCCTCAGGCAATCTCCCCGGGGTCTCATTGGCTAAGAGTAGGTAGCACTTAGCACTGTTGCCGTGAGAACTGACCCCGTGGGGGTGTTACAGATGCTGGAGAAAGTCACAGTAACCATGAGGCCTTCTCCTCGGTTTAGATCCACAAAGGCTGCTGGACACCATCTCCTCTCAGGCCCTTCTGGGCCATGTCTGCCAGGAGGGGAACAGGCCTGGTTTCTTTGTTAAGGGAATTGCAGACCAAAAGACAAGTTCCAGGAAGATTTCTCCTTATGGGGTGGGATTGGAAGACAGTGTTGTGATGAGGAGGTGGGTCACAAGGAGGGAGGGCGGGTTACAAGGACAATAAGGCCTGGAAGGTGCCACCATGCAGGACGAGCGAACTGGTGGAATATAGATGGAAGGATGTAGAATAGCACAGAGGTTTGCAGGAAGCCTTCAAATACTGGAAACGCATGTTAACCCGGTTTCCTCCCTCACCAGCCATCGCCCACACCAAACCCAGTCCTTAGGGAGGGCATCTGGGCTTGAAAATCACAGCTCTTTAATAACCGTTCCTGCTGCTTCAAAACACAGTTTGCCTTGAAGTCTAGGCAGCTGTGCCCCAGGCCAGCCCAGACTGTTTGACATAGCATTTTGAACACGTATGTTTGAAGAACTCAAGAAGTTACAGGTCCAAGGACTAAAAATAAATCACAAATTCAGCTGTTATAGCATTGATTGGCACAGCCAACTGCCTGGTGGGATTCAGCGCGTAAGCCGCTCTGTCCATCCTTTGAGCCATGGAAGCAACAGAGACAACGCCACTGGTAGACATTTGGGGAGTCTCAATGCCTGTGGTGTTTTTACTTACTGTTTAAAGTTGCACTCCCTTGGGGATGGATATTTGTAGAAGACACACTGAGATCTATCAAGTTCAGAGTTTTTCTGCCCAGTACCAGGCTGGCCTGTGTTCTGCTGGGGACAGGGAAGTTGAGCCAGGCATCTCAGTTGGTCATGACCTGACTCCTCAGTCTATGGTGGACAGGCAATCCCCAAGGGTGTCGCAAACAGGCAAGAATGCATTAGGTACGTGGAATGAAAGTATTTCTGCGGAATATGTCACGTGTTGTTGGTCTAGGCCAGGGACAGCTGCCACAGCTCATCCTGAGATGCTATTGGGCATACTCCTAACCCCGACTCTCTAGAAACCAGCAGCTGAATCCTTGCTGTAGGCAGAAGGAATCTAGGCAGGAAAGGATGGCAGAAGACCAGCCCAAGCGGAGCAGTAGGAGATAGTCCTTGAAGTGTGCATCACTGTTACACCAGACTGCTTCTGACAAATCATACAAACCAGCAATATGGCTCAGCTGGTAAAGATGGGTGCCACCAAGCCTGAGAACCTAAAGTCACCCCCTGGGACCTACATGGTAGAAGGAGAGAGCCTTCTTCTGTCACAAGCCATCCTGACTTCCACATGTGTTCTGTAGCATGTGCCCATACTCTCAAACACAGCACACACACACACACACACACACACACACACACACACACACACACACCACAGAAAGTATTACACATGATCAATTAATTTAGCTGAAAACACTCATACAATGATAATATGATATTATTTGGAATTTCAAGACAGCAGTGTCAGAGCACCAGACCCTGGACAAGCTCATTTCTGAGCATCAGGCTCCATGCAGTGGTGTTCGTGCATTCATGAAGCTATCCCTGCTCACCACTGCCTGCTCTCTGTACAGCAGAGTGATGTCTTCAGACTCAAATCTGGCCACTTTCGGGCTGTTCCTTCTTTTTGTGAAGGATGTTGTTCTTAGGCCCATGGTCATTGTCACCACTTAGCCCACAGACCCTGCATGACCTAACCTCAGCCTGCTTTTCAAAACTTGCCTTGCACTTCGCCTCTCCCCTGCACTTTCTTTTGGTTTGCTATCCTGCTTCTTTCTCTCCTATCCCAGATCCCTTTCCCAGGCCCTCTTCTTTGCTTGGCAGGTTCTTCCTCCCTACCCCAGCCTAACTACTGTCTTAGCCCAACTACTTCCCTTCAGATATTACTCTTGTCTCCTCTTCAAGAAAGCCAAGCAATAGACTGCATAGGCCAAAACGCAGGCAAGACAATATCAGTGTGACGACTTCTCAGAGGCTGGAGGAGGGGCTATTGTCATGGAAACAACCCTCATTGGTGGAGCTGATGCCAAGCTGGAGGGAGAGTCTGAAGCAAGAGCTTGGAACCCTGAAGAGGGGGAGGAGACTGGAGCAAAGGAGGCCCTGAAAACTCCTTAGTGACATCCAGGGAGTGAGGAGGCCCCCACCCTTCACTTCATTTGATAATGGCAATCATTTTATCCCTTTCGGTGCCTATGTAATAATGCCTTGATAATGCATCTCCTGGAAGGAGGGGAGCCTCTGCTCTGGTGGAATATCCCTCCAGTGCCAGGCGGCTGTGGCCAGCAGGGAATTCCTGGCAGGCTGTGTAGTCTGTGGATGGGTATGCTGCCTATGGCTGATCTGGGACATTCCAGTACCTGGTCAAGGTGGTCCACTGTTCCTGGAGGAGATGCCTGTGGTGGTATTCTTCTAGGTGGTCCGAGGTCTACATTCTATGTTCTAGGGAATGCTGTGCCCTGCCCCAGAATGAAAAGAGACCCGCTGCAGTGTACCCAGGGAAAATAACAGCTCCCCCCTGCCTGGGGACGTGAACAACAGAAATGATGCTGATTGTCAGACGGCAGAATGTACAGGGACAGAGCGAGTCTGTTGGGGAGGAAGCCGGAAGCCTAAGCCGGAGAGCAGGGACATGATCAACTCGACCAGCTGAGACCAAGTTCAGCAGTAACAGGCGGCCGGCCCACCGAGCTCTGGCTGCATCAGGCCTGGAGCTAAGCACGTCACACACTCTGTGAGGCCTCGTCATCCTCCTCCACAGAGAAGGACACCGTGGCTTAGAGAGGCCGGTTGGCTGGCTGAGTCACGTTGTGCTCTTTCGTCCCTGTTATGCTGAGGAGCCAGGACCTAGGCAGGGACAAAATGAGGAGGAAGCGAGTTCCCAGCTGAGAAGCAACTGAGGAGGTCAACGGTCATGGTGAGCGGCTGGGATCTTAGATGGAGACTCTGCCTCAGGGTCGCCAGTGGGCTGAGGGTGTGACCCTTGGTCCTCAAACTGTGGTATCAGTACAGGATTTCAGTTGGCCTTGGGGACAGCGGTTGTAAAAGTAAGGCTTCTTTCCTCTCGCCCCGCCCTCCTGAACCTTCAGATCCACTCTCTTGCAGCCACAGAGACCATGACGGAATTTCTATAGCATTGTCTGTCACTAGGGTTCTTGAAAGCCACCAGAGATGTGCAAAGTGGCCCATTGGCAGCTGTCAAGGTCATGGAACAGAGAGCCCTAGAAGGCAGACAGGAGTGAGGAATGTGAATCCCAAGACTCACCGCCCCCAGCAGAGATTATCTGGAGGGTGACAAATGGTGGCACATAAGAGACCATGTCCCCGCCTAGACCCTTTGATGTTAGGTGTCAGACGTTCAGCCTAAGGTCAGAATTCCAGCCTTTTCCTCACTGCTTCATTTCCCAGATGGGGATCTGAGGCCCAGCGTTGAGACATAGCAGCTGACCTGACCTGATTGACAGGGAAGGGAAGGATACTGGCTGCCTCCAGCAGCACCCTTTCTAGTCGGTTCCACTTGACTTCTTCATTCTTGGCACCTGTTTCTTGGGAGAGCCCCCATGCATTGTTCAGCTCTTCAGCTGGCTCGGTTTTAATTTGGTTAGAACACAGGAAGGCAAAGCTGACGTCAGCCCAGCTGCTGACTGACTACCAGTGAAACCCAAGATTCAGAGGCAGGAGATCTTGACTTCATCCTGACTCAGTCAAAAGATCCATAAGCTGGGAATTAAATCCGGTCAGGTGAATGGAAGAGCATAGAGGACCCAGGGATGTCCATAGGGCTGGAGCTTAGGAGGGGGACCAACCGAAGAACCCCAGCCT